TAAGATTCCGTGGTAGAATTCAAAGGCAAAGACGTCCACGCGACTCGGTGATGCCGGCTCGGTGAAAAGTTTCGGTTTCCAGCAGTAAATGGTTTTGCAGATTTTGACGAAAGCCTTGGAAGATTCAGCTGAGCCAAAGGCAGCAGCTGGGTGAGTAATAGAGTCACGCTTGTGTTATTAAATCTGTTCGGTTTGCCCGGGCTGTGGGAATTTAGAGTTCTTGCCTTTTTTAACCGTTCCCATTTCCAAAAGGTTTCGAAAGTCCCAGACTCGGCTGATATAAAAATACATGTGTGTTGACTGTGTTTCTTGAGTTCTTGTATTCCATAATCCAATCCACTTCATGTTATTCCATAATCCAATCCACTAGCACATTTCATCTCTCTGGTCTCACACTCTGGTCTCTCTCTCTGGTCTCTGTCTCTGGTCTCTCTCTGCTCTCAGTTTTCTCTGGTCTCTGTCCCTGGTCTCTCTCTCTCTGGTCTCGTTCCCTCTCTCTGGTCTCTGTCTCCGGTCTCTCTCTCTCTCTCTCAGTCTCTCTCTTGTCTCTGTCTCTCTCGCTCTCTCTCTCTCTCTCTCTCTCGCTCTGATTGCACTCTCTCTGGCCTCTCACTCTCTGGTCTCTCTCTCTGGTCTCTGTCTCTCTCTCTCTCGCTCTGATCGCACTCTCTCTGGTCTCTCTCTCTGGTCTCACTCTCTGGTCTCACTCTCTGGTCTCACTCTCTGGTCTCACTCAATCAATCAATCAAATTTTATTTATGAAGCGCTTTTCATACAAAAGATGCAACACAAAGTGCTTTACAGTTTGGTTAAAAACAATCCCGCCGGCCCATGTCCCTTCCCCCCGACCACCCAACAGACCCATCCCAAACCACAGACAAACGCACACACGCTCCCATGCACACTCTGACACACACACACACACGCACACACACACACACACACACACACACACACACACACACACACACACAAGTAAAACAGTAAAACAATGATGTGGTCACTCTCTGGTCTCTCTCTGGTCTCTGGCCTCACTCTCTCTTATGTATATAGTACATTTCATCAAGCCAGTTTCCAAAGTGCTTCACAATAAAAGAACAATTAAAAAACTGTAAAGTCATAAAAAAATCGAAAAGAGCTGTAAAGAAACATACACATATACACAAACATACACATATGCTTTTATGCACACATGGATGCACTAGCAGTAAAATAAAATAAAATAAAAAGACCATACTAAAGCCAGAGAATAAAAGTGGGTCTTAAGAATTACAGCACTCCACAAAAGGAGCACTTTGAATCTGACCATTCAAACTGCTTTCAATGTATTTAGTAGTTTCAAATCAAGTCTCTCCTATTGTCTGTCTCTGGTCTCACTCTCTAGTACTCTCTGTCTCTGTGTCTCTCTGGTCTCTCTCTCTCTGGTCTCTGCCTCTGGTCTCTCTCTGGTCTCACTCTCTCTGGTCTCTGTCTCTGGTCTCTCTGGTCTCTGTCTCAGTCTCTCTCTGGTCTCTGTCTCAGTCTCTCTTTCTCTGGTCTCTGTCTCTGGTCTCTCTTTCTCTGGTCTCTGTCTCTGGTCTCTCTCTCTCTGGTCTCTGTCTCAGTCTCTATCTGGTCTATCTCTGTCTCAATAGTAATAACCTACATCTACAGTCATAATTAGTTGCATTCTATTTTCTAAATGCTAGACTTTGCAAATGCCCGACTGTTTGTTTAACGTCCCACAGATGATGAAGACTCCAGCACTGGACACAGAAGTACTTTTGATTCTTGTGCAGACTTCTCCAAACTCCCATTACCACCGCTCATAGCTACACGCCTTCGCTTCACATTCATTTAACTTGCTTGTGTTTCAACTCGGAAACAAAATGGCTACTGTAACGACCTTGCGCTTATGAGTTCATCAATCCCAAACTTTAATAACTGCGGGCTAATCTTCCGACAGAGGCATTTTACCCATAAATCACAGCGACTACGTGACGACGGAGGTTCTGTTCTGATGGCCCAAGACACATGCTTTAATAATGCAAAGGTTCTCTGCCACTCACTGACACGGGATGGAAAGCATGGAGCAGGTCGATGGAGGTGCCAGGGTTTGAGAACCGGGTTTGTATAAAGCCTCAGAGCACTTAAAGGGGCAGGATGTGTAGGGTTCTGCAGGAATAGTTAGGATTTCAGGCTTTGTGTGGTGTTTTCTCTCCCAGTGCATGTTTTTCAACTCAGAGAACTACGGTCTTGGCACTAACTACACGAGACGGTGGACGTTCAAATCAATAAATGTTTGTTTTTTTACTGAAACATGGAAACCTACGGCAAGTGCGGCCTATATGGTGTCCCTCTCTGGTCTCTCTCTCTCTGTTCTCTCTCTCTGGTCTCTTTCTCTCTGGTCTCTCTCTGGTCTCACACACTGGTCTGTCTCTGGTCTCTCTCTCTCTCTCTCTTGCTCTGGTCACACTCTCTCTGGTCTCTCTCTCTCTCTCTCTCTTGCTCTGGTCACACTCTCTCTGGTCTCTCTCTCTCTCTCTCTCTTGCTCTGGTCACACTCTCTCTGGTCTCTCTCTGGTCTGTCTCTGGTCTCTCTCTGGTCTCACAGTCTGGTCTGTCTCTGGTCTCTATCGCTAGTCTATTTCTCTCTCTGGTCTGTCTCTGGTCTCTCTTTCTCTCTCTCTCTGGTCTCTCTCTGGTTCTTTCTCTCTGGTCTCAGTCTCTCTCTCAATATACTTTATTTTCAAATGTTGCTGGTGTGGCATATATACAGGTGCACCTTATAGTCCAATAAGTACAATATAAACGTTTTGTTTACAGGTTTTGGTTAAAAAATAAGTTGTACAAAGCCAAATATAAGATCCTTTATCCGTCCCACAATGGGGAAATTTCAATGTTGCAGCGCACGTACAGGACAATAGTAAGACACACAGGGATCACACAAAATATACAAAACAAGTAGCTGCTATGGTTCTTAGCTAGCTGTAAAGGCTTCAATATCAATCTTTGAATTATCTCTATACATAGCGCAAACTTATATCCATATAGGGCAGGGTAATAAGTAGATAAAGTGACATGCAGTGGACATTCTGAAGATTATTTACAGACATTTACAAGCTAATATCCTTTCAACAGAACACCATACGCTAACTATCAAGGAGTCAAGGTGAAAGCTGCTGTTTTTTTGCAAATATACCATCAAACTATGCATTCAAAAAGTCCCATTTAATCTCCATCTTTTCCGCCGTTGAGGCCGTGCGTGTTTGGGTGGCAACTTAACTAGAAATTCATGGGAAAATAAAAATAGGAGCACGTTCTATTTAAGAGAGAACAAGTGGTCGGCTTTTGAGCTGTCGGTTTCCCGCAGAGTTTTTCATCTGAAAGAATAGTGCGTTGCTACACAACCCTTCGGAGGCCTGTTGTTTCTCTAATTTAATGTTCTGAAGCCGCGCAGTCACATTTGAGAGCGGATTGTGGAATTCATACACACAGGCACACACAAAAGTAATGACTTCAAAAGGAGGCATTGCAGCTCAACCAGAGGGGTCTTTTTAGCACAAGAGCCCGCAGAAAGACGAGTATTTAAAAAGCTCTTTTGTTACAACTTGCCAGTTTTTTAATTGACAGCACTACCAGGCACTAAAAACATGGCACCCCAGGATTTTACAGTTTCCCATATTTCAGGAAAACGACGACTACTGTAAGAAGGTGAAACTTTGGCAATTAGACCATTGTTCAAAAGAGTAAAATATTTGGAATTCAACTTTAAATTAAATTCAATTTCAATGTATTTTTGAAGAGCCATGAATCATTTTCCCAGGGACAGCTCATATCTGTCTTTGAGCTCGATGCTGCCGTGTACTGTCCCATTCAAATAAAGTCTAAACTAAGCAAAAGCAGTCTTCTCGAAGGATTTTACAAAGTCGATTCACCAACAACAGATCAGAGACACATTAGACACATTTTATTTTGGCTTTAGTATTTATTATTGTCATTGCTATTATTAATGTATTGTATGATAGTTCCTTTTAGTCTCATTGTATTGTTTGTAGATACCCAGTGTTTCCTCTGGAGGAGCCCTCTGCACTGGGAGTGGTGGACGCTGTGGCTGTGGGGGCCAGACTCCTGGACCCGGTGGGGACCTGGAGCCTCGACTTCATGTCTCCTCTGGGTCCTGTGTCGTCCCCTGTGGCTACGGGCGGCTCTCTGCTCCTGGTGCAGACGGCTCCTTGGATGGCGCCTCTTCGGCTGGTTGCATCTGAACCCTGCCAAGTCTCTCTTCATGGGTTTATTGTTTTACTGGTGCGTGTGTGTGTGTGTGCCCGTGCCCGTGCTTACGTGTGAATGTGACTTTTTAAACATGAATTGTAGTTTATTGGGCTTTCTTTGGTCCTTGGTTTGCTGCGTCATCTCGAGTCACACTGATGGCGCAGAGGGAGCTGTCAAGCGCAATGTTTACAGTCGGGATACGCTGCAAACCCTAACTTCAATGGTACTTCAGATATCAAAGTTATTCTAAATAGATTTTTCCGAGTAAGTGGATATTACTCATTTATTGTTAGTTTATTTAAAGCTCGCCTGTATCACTCAGGGTTTTATTTGAATTGAACTCTCTGTTCAAGTAAGCCTCACTTTTGACGTGTAGAGTCTTAAATGAGACAGGTGTGAACTGGGGCAAGGCAGCAGGGTGGCTGAGTGGGTACCACCTTCACCTCTCAACTTTAAGATTGGGAGTTCAACTCCTGGTCGGAGCAAAATTTAAAATATATTGCAATCGCTTGAGTTACTTGGTAATATCAAGTAAAGGATGTTCTCGAGTAATTCAAGTGAAGTTAATTTATTTCCAAGGTTTTTTCAAGTAAACTTTACTTGTTAGGGTTTACAGTGTGCTTGCTCTACGCCCTGGGTCAAGGACCGGTCTTTTACCGACCCGGCCCGAGAACTTTCAGAACCCAGGTGCGGATTCAAAGAAACCTCACAGAAAGCGAGGAAAGAGAGGCGGCATTTTACGCCGTATGCGGAAATACGGTCTTCGGGACAGACGCAAGCACCCTCCGCTACCCACTGTCCCTGTGTCAAATGTCCAGTCCATTTGGAATAAGACCGATGAGATAGAGGCTTATGCCAGGTACAACAAGGAGTTCAGAGACACTTGCCTCCTGGCTTTTACTGAGACATGACTGGGAGAGAGGGACAGGGACATTGATCTGCACATTACCGGATTTGGACATCCTATTCGCTTGGACCGTCTACCTCATGCTACAAACAAACTTGCGGGAGGAGGGGTCTGTTTCTATGTAAATGAGCGGTACTGCAATACTGTCATTGTTCCGGATATGATCTGCACCCCTGATCTGGAGCTACTTACGATCTCCCTTCGCCCCTTCTACCTGCCGAGGGAGTTTCCCCAGCTTTTCTTCACGTTGGTCTACATTCCCCCGCAGGCCAACATCTCATCTGCGACCAAGCTGATTGCGGAGGTGAGCAATAAATTGGACTGAAGCCGTAGATCCAATGTTGAGACTGTAGAATAGATTTCATTTCTTGTGTTTGAACAGTTTTGTAAAGTCCTCTGAGATAACTACTGTTGTGATGATTTACAAAAAACCCATTGAATTAAACTACATTCAGTATCTTTCTTTTATAAAACAAGAAGCCACTTAGACAAACACGTCAGGTGCCAAAGTTGTCCTTGTGTGTGTTGTGTACGTGTGTTACCGCCACTTCACTGTCAAGACATTTTTTGGTTGTAGTTAATATCTGCAGGCGCCAGAGGAGGCACTGAAGGTCACTTTGCAGAGACCTCATTAAGAGTGTCCGTCTCTGGCTAAAAACAGCAGCTGTCCACCGCTTTGGGGAATACGACGTGATGATGAGGCTAGAAACAAGTCTTCAGCAACATCATGAAACTAAATCTGCCACTTTGTCCTATCTTGTTTGTGTTGGTTTTGCTGTGATACAACATTAGACTTTTAAACATGAAAACTCGTTATTATTGTTGTTTTTGAATTCAACAGTTGATGACAGTCGGCAGGAAGTCAAAGTTGTTTTACAATTTATTCAGTCTTAGGAAATTTGCACTGCAAAATATTAACATCTATATTAAAATCCAGGCAACTGTAATTCATGTATTTTTGTCATAGAAGTAATGTGTTTCCTTATGGGAGCTAGAATGTCACTAGTTTGAGTATTTGCTTGAAATTCAAGTGCAATTAACAGTATACGGATGGACAATGCTAACCCGCTCATGCAATGAAGCCCAATAGAGAAGTGCTCATGGATGAAGTTTTGCTCTGGCTCCTATTAACTTACATGTAAAAGTAAACTCCTCTATCTTAACTCTTTGGCTTCAAGAAAATTGTTGGTTGGTGCTGTCTGTGATCCTAGTGCTTATATTGTGATACTGCTTCAGTTGCAGCCTCAGTCGCAGCCTCAGTCGCAGCCTCAGCCCTCTGGTCCCTGATAAAGAAGCCTGCATCACACACTCCTGATCAGTCAGACAATAGTGAACGGTTGTTGCACAGAGGCTTTTGCATTCTGCTGTGAGCGTGTTCAAAGCACACGGGGGGCGTCTGGGGAAAGGGGGAACAAGCAGATGTATGTCCTCCCCGACGGCACACTCACAGCTCCGCGCTAACAGATGAGAGCGTGAGGTTGGGGAGGATTATAGAAACCTCTGGCTGAACTACACGTAAATACCCGAGCCTCCGCAGCAGCGAGATGCATCTGCAGCAGGTGGAGGGCTGCGTGCTGCTGCAGACTGTGGAACAATCCAGAAGTGTTAGCCTTGATGCAGAAGGAGATGATTACTGGATCGGGATGAATGGATCTGGAGCCAAATGTGTGGGTAGCAACGACCTAGCAACCAATCATGTTTAATTGCATTTTTGTGTGGAATTGGACCTGGAAAGAAGAAGAACACAACGCCACGCTCTAGAATACAACACCACACTTTAGAACACACCGTCACACTCTAGAGCAAAACGCCACACTTTAGAACACAACGCCACACTCAGGAACACAACGCCACACTCAAGAACACAACGCCACACTCAAGAACACAACGCCACGCTGTAGAATACAACGCCACACTTTAGAACACACCGTCACACTCTAGAGCAAAACGCCACACTTTAGAACGCAACGCCACACTCAGGAACACAACGCCACACTCAAGAACACAACGCCACACTCAAGAACACAACGCCACACTCTAGAACACAACATCACACTCTAGAACACAACGCCACACTCTAGAACAAAACACCACACTCTAGAACATGATATCTAGAACACAACGCCACACTCAAGAACACAACGCCATACTCAAGAACACAACGCCTCACTCTAGAACACAACACCACACTCTAGAACATGATATCTAGAACACAACGCCACACTCTAGAACACAACGCCACACTCTAGAACACAACGCCACGCTCTAGAACACAACGCCACACTCAAGAACACAACGCCACACTTAAGAACACAACGCCACACTCTAGAACACTCTTGAACAGGTAGTCACACTCGATACTACACACCACACTACATAATTTTAGTGCATTCTTGAGGATTAAACCCAGATTTGATTAAACGGTGCAATCTGAAACTTTTAAAAGTAATCTTCATCAGGTTTTGTGCGTCTTTCATGCAACAACCAAAGCAGAGAATTTATCACACGAGTTGCAGAAAAGCTCGTCTGTAATTGATTTTCATGAACATCTGAGTGGAGACGTATTGCTTCCCTTAATCTGCCGGAGGTTGAATGGATGCAATTAACCCGGTATTGAGCGGCGCGGCTCACATGGGCGGCCGCGACCAGCACCACTGCGTCTCTTTGTGTAAAGGGAAGGTTTTACTTAAACTTCACTTTAGCTTATCAGATCTGCTCCACGGGGCGGCGGCAGCTCACAAAACAAACTAAAACAACATTAAACTCCATACAGACTTTTATACTTTTGATGCATTCATAAACCCTACGAACTTTAGCTGCTTTAAAGTGACAGTATGTGACTTGGTTCACCGTCTGCCTGATTAGAACAAGACATTTACAACTAGGGATGCACCAAGACCAATCTTGCGTTTCGAATATTTGTACAGAGCCAGGAAAGGTGTTTAAAGCGGACATTTGTCCAATGATATCGGTTAAACCGATATCCTATTTATTTAAGTTTCCCGGTTTTAGAAAATATCGAAAGCCTGATATCAAGAGACGTTATGTTTTATGCCATACACTGGAATTATAGCAAAATGAACAATAAATATTTGACAAAGTAAGTAGTTATAATAAGTAACCTCCCACTGACAGGAATTGGTAAGTTTTCCGATTTCATTTTTAACATTTCTTTGTCTATAACATCGATAAAAACTCAGTTAAATGCTGTTTAGTTTTGACAGGTGGATACAAAGCTTTGAATATTGGGGAAGAAAGCAATAAAACAGTCCTATTTCTTCCTGGATTTGCAGGTTCACTTGTCGCCGTGGAACAAAGTTTGACGGATGAGTGAACTTTGGGATGGCATTAGCGCGGCTGTTCCACTGCTGTCAACACTGCCATAAAAACGAATACATTTGGGTCCCCATCCACAAAGAACAAGCTGTTTAAATAATGTAGAGGCGAAAATTGTCTCTTCCTGTTGTGGACTGCACGCCGAACATGATTTATGTAAAGCAACAATCATCATGCAACGTGGCGAGCCAAGTCCCATCGCCGGTGCCCATGTGACCTTTCCCAGTCGTTCATTAAGACAATAGAGTCCCGCATCTAAACAAGGCGCGTGTGGTTTCCATACACAACACTTAGCAATTTATCTTTTAATTGTGTCAGAGAATTGCACGCTGGCGGAAATTAATAGGGCCTCTTAGAAAAGCCTCACAAAGTCAAGAGAATTCTTCTGCATAATCAGGAATGCAAATGAGCGGGAGCCGAGTCTGCCTCCACAGACCAGTCCTGGATTAGAAGTCTCTAGAACAATGCGACGGGTGCGAGTTGACAGACGCCATGTTTGTTCTGCGGTGTTTGCTTTGGAGACGAGACGAGCCGTCAAAGGAAAGGTACGCAACGGTAGACTTCAGATTCATGCTAAAATTCAGCGCATTTGCCGTTTGCAGTCATCCCACCAGGGGGCGCCTCATTTGAGCATTTTTGGAAGGGTGAGGTGCAATAGAGATAAAAACATGTTATTATTGAGCATAAGGCACAAAAAACACTCACAAAACACACAGAAAATGTCAAACAATAACATGAGGCATATAAAGTGGTGCCCATACAAACTCAAATGAAATGATACAACAATGAGCAGACATGGAACATAAAAAGCCGTTGAAACCTCTCTCACTGTTACTTTGTCCACAGTGAGAGCAGCCAGGATCTAGGGAGATTCTCGTGCCACTTAAGAACAAAAGCTTTTGAGAAACTGAACTTTCAAATTGCATTAGTTCAACATCAATGCAGCCAAAAAAAAGTACATTTGGTTCTTCAGAACAAGCTGTTTAAATAATTTAGAGCCTAATATTGTCTCTTGGACTGAAGCCTGGCAGGATTTATGAAAGCAACAATACTCAAGTGTGTGCGTGTGTTTGTGTGTGTGTGTTCTTTTTCTTTGTGCATGTGTGGACATTTTAACTGTGTCACTGTTAAAGATGGTAATAAACTACAGTGCCTGGACAAAGACAACACAACAGACAAGGATACATTTTTACTTGGAACACAAGGAGCACACGCATGGTCACGGCACAACGCTGATCTTGGTGCTGTGCGTGCACTGAAGTCCTTAGGTCACAGGCCTATTTATTTAGACAAAAACCACACCTACATCACAGTCACATTATTGTCACTTCAAAGATTCCATATGGCTCAAACCATAAGTTTGTTGACACAGTTCAAACATTTTAGCCTAAAAAGGTTTCCAGTCTTATCTCACGCTGACAGCCCAAAAATCACTTCACAACCCAAACATGTGACATATGGACATCCATTAACAATGCAAACATTAAAGACAACGGTTAGCAAGTAGCCCATTGACCTGTTTACATGCATTCACCTTTGCTCCGGTGGTCCTGACCAAGCCGAGCATCAACATCTGGAGATGGGTTCCCGGGCGCTGTTACTACGGCGACCACTGCTCCTGACGAAAGCCTTAGCGGCATCAGGATGGGTCAAATGCAGAGGATGAATTTCCCTACGGGGATCAATAAAGTGCGCCTTTACCTTTAGATGTGCAATACTAACAAACACATAGGAGACACTGGTGCATTGGGAGCGAGTTCAGAGCTGCTGATCAGAGCGGAGCCAGAGCGGGAAGTTTGTGTAGATTTAATGAAAACTAAAAGATTTAAGAAGAAAAAAAGTTAAGGATGACAAGGGACACTAAAATCCCCTTTATGAAAGCTGTAGGTTCTCTGTCAGCTGAGGTCGAGCTGTTTTAGTTTACATTGACTTCTATGGGACATTTTTCTGGGTAGCCCTCGTGAATTTAGTCTGCAGTACCACGGCTTC